GAACTGCAACATCACCTTCAACACTTTTGTCATTACCGTAGTGAGAACTGATCTACTGTACATAAACTTATTACATGAGTCAACAACTGGGCCAGCCAATTATTTCACAAGATTGTTACTGGATTTCATATGGGATTAAACATAACTAATGTGTATGCTTCTTTATATGAGACCTGTAATAAAACACAAATATTCCTATTGTCAGGGAACTATGGTTACATTTGCAAGATTTCCTTATAATTTTTTTTTTTTATTTTTTTTCTTCATGCAACACACTTCTTCCCATGTTCATTTCTGGTATTAGAATCTGTCTGTTTGGTCATAAATCCATGATGTGGTCTCTCCAGTTATGTTTTGGCTCTGCCCTAGAATTGCCCAGGTTACTTTCTGATCAAATGCCTGTTTGAGTGTAGAGGAGTGGCTTCTTCTAAGATCAAGAGAGCAGGAATTGTGGCCGAAGTCGCCTACATACCCAAATCTCAACTATGCATTGAGGGGTGTCCGATTTTCTAGGGAGGATTACAAAGCTATAACTGTTGTGGCTTCAATTTGAGGGTGTAGTGGTAGAGAGTTAGGGCTAGTGGTTGTGTGGAAGGCGAACATTGGGATTGGGGCCATAGTCTTGCCTCTGTATTTTCAAAGAATCTTTTCTTGGTAGATTCAGCCCTTCTTTGGCTTCCACTGATCTGAGGACACCACAATGCCTTCCCAAGCCAGATGGGACATATAAACCATCCAGTCAATATGAATTCATCTTCTGCTACATCCTATTAACTTATTAACAAATCACTGAGGGCCTGTACTTGAAGCAACCCTTTGAACAATGGATGTACATGAACTTTGGCACAAAATACAGAATTGTGCTCAGCAATCCTGTATTGTTTTTTGCAATGATACCACTACACTGGGTAACTTAAATACAATTTTTGGTTGGATAATAGCGTAATTTAATATTGTCAGAGTAGTATTCCCTCCCCAGTCTTCCTTCCAATGTTTTTCTATAATGAACATCTTTTTTTATGACTATTTGAGATTGGCCACCAGTCAGCCAGAGGTACAAGGTTGAAAATCATGTTTCTTTTTCTTTCCCCTTCATGGATATGTGCTTAGTTTAGCCTTTTCACATAAACTCCCCATGAAAAACAAAGACATTAGAGCTTGTATGCACAAAAATGTGAAAAAGTGAGAGTGAAAAAAGACAAATTACATACATTAAAATACAGTGTCTCCAGTGTTTCCACCAGTCCGCCTGCTCTTGTTAACACCTCATGTCGCACCATGTACAGATGAAGTCAGTTTAGAAAGGTATTTATCACACTGGACTCCTTCAGTAAATGAGAGTAAAATTTGTGTCTACGGTAACAAGAGGAACTCTAACTTTCAGAAACATTATGACTCATAGAAAGCGACAGTGACTTTGTAAAAACAATTCCCCCAAACTAACCACATTTTCGACAAAAATAGCTCTGTATGAATGATAACTTTGTTATACTACAAACATTTAGAAAGACATTTACATCTAAAACATAAGTCGTAAAACATCAAAAAAGAAAGCCACATGTATAAAATCTGTTTCACAGCTCAGAATCCTCCTACCTTTTTCAACTTTGCATCAGAAATGTGTTTCTGGAGAAAAATTGTGCAGAGTTTTAGGTCATGATGAGGTTCAGAGTTCAGTTAGATATGACCTGACGATTGGTAGACTCAGTTTGGAAAAGAATAGAAGAGAGTAGAGCAGAGGTGGATGCTGTGCAAAGATTCAATGGGTCAAGATCAGGGAGGGTTGGCATTGACTAGAGGAGGAGAGAGAGAGGAAGAGAGAGAGGAAGAGAGAGAGGAAGAGAGAGAGGAAGAGAGAGAGAGAGAGAGGAGGTGGGAGGGAGGGTTTCACTTACTACTTCTTTAGCTGAACTTCCTGGTCCCAGTAGAGTAATTTTGGCAAGCTTTACATTTCTCTCTCATTCTGTCTTACATCTGCAGCTCTGAAGACCACCTAATAAACTGGTTTTCACCAATTCCCCCCATTTTCTAAATTATTTTATTTTATCCACAGCTGTTTTTCAAGCCCAAACAGCCACCTTATCTACAGTGTTTATCTATTTGGCGTCATTGCACCCTCTGCTGTTTAATTTGCGCTCTACAACAGCTTCTCACTGTTCAGATCAGTTTGTAGCACTGATGACTTGGTCCCGGGTTTGATTCCTAGATACGTTGTGCATTGGGATTTGCATGTCCTTCCGTGCATGCATGGGTTCTCTACAGGTACTCTGACTTCCTCACATAGTCCAAAAACATGACTGTTAGGTTAATTGGCAGCTGTAAATTGTCCTTAAGTGTGTTTGTGTGTTTGCATGGTTATGTATCTCTGTGTCACCCTATGACTGTGTCACCCTATGACAGACAGGTGACCTTTCCAGAGTTTACTTGACCTTTCAGCTACAGAGAGCTGGTGATACGCACCGGTCCCACCTGACCCTGACAGAATAAGTGGGAGAAGATGGATGGATGGATGTTTATAAATAAGAAAAAAAAACATCTGTTGTATTAATATCTTCCTCTGGGAAAAAGGAAAAAATGTCTTCACATGTTTTGGGTCATAAGCACTTTTTGAATTAATACACGTAAGGTTCAAAAGCATCCATTAAAAACACATAAAAAAGCCATTATACATCATACCAAATATAATAAAATTAAAACATCTCTCCAGTCATATTTAAAAACTGTTTAAAAAGAGAAACAAACCTATGAAAACAAATTTCCTAATGTTCCAAGTCCATGAATCTTTTTTCCACTGGATTACTGCCCTTCATGTTCCCCTAAAAATGTATGGAGACGGTGTACAGCCTTAGTCGTCCTATGACCTTGCTTGTTACTATTGTTTTCCTTGGAGTCCTACTCTGATTTTTTGAACTCCAATGAGCTGGAAGGTCCATTAACTATCAATTAAAAATACACAAACACACAGATCCACTTATAGTACAAATTACAAAAGAATGATAGAGCTGACAGATGTGTCATGGATGCTTTTGTAAAAACTGAAACTGAATCATAACAATAAATATATATCTGAAAGGAAACACTATAAAGAATTTTCTAATTTTTATATTATTTCAACACTTTCAGATCTTTACCAGGGGTAGCAATAAAAGTGGTGGTAGGTATGTTCTCAATTAAATCCTAATTATTAAGAAATTGTGAATCCATTCATCCATCCATTTTCCTTTACGCTTATCCCTGCTGGGGTTGCGAGGGGTGCTGGTGCCTATCTCCAGCTGTCTACGGGCGAGACACGGGGTACACCCTGGAAAGGTCGCCAGTCCATTGCAGGGCAACACAGAGAAAAACAGGACAATCAACCATTCACATACACAATCACACCTAATGAGAATTTAGAGAAGCCAATTAAACTAACGGTCACATTTTTTGGACTCTGGAAGGAAATACTAAATATTCGATTTTTGTAACATTCATATTATCAACATAAATGTATTGAGGGGGCATCTTATGCATTTTATTTAAAAGTTTGTGTTGTAAAAGTAATTTAAACAATTCAATATATAACTTGTTATAAGGAAAATAAATATTAAAACCTTTTCTCTCTTTTCTTGATTTATTGAAGGCCGAGATTTGCTTGCATAAGGTTCTCCTCTCTGTTGAACTCATTGTGCACACCAAAGCAAAAACCATATCTCAGAAGAAGAGCAAACTTTCAATCCTTTTTTTTAATAACAGGTCATGTCAAATAAAAATAAAAAAATACAGTAATTGATAAGAAAAAGACAAGGTGTAAAATCAATGGGTTAAATTCCCTATGTTGTGGATGGCAAGCCTAACGTAACTTCTGAGTCAGGTTGAGCTTGATCCCTGCTGCTGCTCAAACTTTATTGTTTGTTGACCTATGAGGCTCAAACCTGTGTTTCCTATCAATCTGTCAGGATTATATCTCACACAGAGCAGCTGGCTGCTGTATTAGCCTCTAAACTAGCAAATGACAGGCTGATATTCTGTAGAATTTCTCACTGTCTAATTGCACGCCACAGTGTATTCAACAAGGGTAATAAAGTTCACTTTTTACATTCTCCATAGTTTGAAAAGTGACATATAAATTGCACTGAAAAGGGGGGGGGNGGGGTTGTTAACAGTAATAGATGTCTCCAAAGTGATAAATTGTGATATCACATATAATCCACACAAATGGTTCTCCATAAGGAGTAAATGACCTCAATTGTTGTCAGGCAAAAAAAAAAAAAAAAGCGTTTTTCATGTTTGCCAGTAAATGTTTTTACTAGCTTGGTGTCATTACTAATCTGTAACTTGATTTTATGATGTAAAAGTTATTTTAGCCACAATCAGCTGATATTAAAACCAAGAGCTAAAACACCTTGTTTCTCTCTTCTTAAAGATAAATTAAATTATTTATAGAATCTATTTAATCTATTTTCAAACTGACTCTAAATGTGATAGCTGTGATGTTTCTTCTTGTCATGGCCTGCCTATTACACTTCGTTCTCAGCTGAAGGACTCATTCCATTTCCAAATCTTTGTCACGTACAAAATGAAGATTATAACTGTATATCCACACAGAGAAATTGTCCTAATTAGATTAAAACATCAGTTCTGACGCACAACAGGCAGCCCATACCAGGGTGTGATAAACTCACACATTTTCAATAATAATTATCCCAACAAACCCTTTTGTAGAGAGACAGGATACATATTGAACAGTTGATCCTTTAACCAAGGGGGACCCAGTCTAGAAACTCATTTAACTCATTAAATCAGGGACCGACTGTGCACACAAACAAACCGAATGATTACTTTTTAAATTTTTCTTTACATTATTAGTGTTTCATATTAAAAAATTTTAACTCCTTTAAAAGAAGCCCCTGAGATGTATGCACTTCAAAGAAATACCTAAATATATACTACATTTTCACTCAATCTGCTTATGCCATCTGTTTGGTTGTAAAACTTTGGAACACTAATATTATGTTACCAATCTAAAAATATGTCGAGTTTAGGTCGCCTCCTGTTGCCAGTCTTGCAGGCCGTTTGACGCTGTTTTTAATGATGGAATCTGTTGAGAGGCTTGGAGAGGGTTCTGGGTCAGGCAGCTGCCATTCAATGAAGATCAAATAAAGCAGAGACGCTAGAGGGCCTCCAATAAGTGGAGCCACCAATGGAACCCAGAACCAGTAATTGTAACACCTGAGGAGCAATCACAAAAAAAGAAGAGATTAAAAAAAGTTTCAGTGTTATTGCTTCTGTTTCAGAAAGAGACAAAACCGGAAAAGTTGCTTCAAGCAGAAAATAATGTCTTTTTCAAATCCTTCTCATGATAGTAGCTCTTTCTTGTTAGAAAACAGCATTGATATGATCTGCTCAATAAAAGGTGATATACATCATCCGGTACACACTGTTTTCTAAGAATATGAAAATGCTGTTTCTTTTAAAAACATATAATCTCTGAGAGTGTTGATGTTCATAGGCAAACCAAGATAAGGTTCTTACGTAAAGACTTCAGTCCCCCAGCCGGCAGTCAAAGTGAAGAGGCGTGGCCCAAGGTCACGAGCAGGATTTATTGCAGCGCCACAGTTCGCTGACATGGACATCCCGATCCCGAGCACAATTGTTGCAACTATAGGAGGAACCAGATCTGAGGGTGCAGGGGTATTCCTCTTTTCTTCCAAACCTAGGATGCATAACATCAACATGCCAGTACCCACTACCTGATGAGAGAGAGATTTATGCATTCACCACAGGTTTGTGGAATTTTATCAAAGCAGTGCTTTAAATTTGAAAAACACCTACTTGATCAAGGAAACTCCTGCCTAATGTAAGGTACTCAGCTGGATATGTGGCAAATATAGATGCTGTTTCATTTGGGCCATAAACGGTCAAGACTCCTCCACTGAACTCCATTATAGCATCTGGAACAGAAACATGTTTTAACATCAGAAACAAACTTTTGGTTGCAGATGTGTGGAAATCTGAGCATCCCTGGTGTTTTGGAGAGTTTTAAAAGGAAAGCATCATAATGATAAAAAATTATTAGATTGAATGCAGTCAAACTCTTTAGTAAGCTTCTCATTCTTTGCGTCAATTAAAATGGATTATTGATCACAAAAATGCAATATTTTTATCGCGCAACCAGAACATCCTGGGTTTCAGTCCTAGCCTGGGGTGTTTCATTTGAGTTTAAATGCATGAAATTTCTCAGGGTAGCCCGACATTCCCCCCAATATATACGTCTTTTTTTTTTTTTTACAGTGTCCTTTCTGGCAAATGTTGTGTTGTTGCGTGTTTCTCGGTTGTAATCAAAACTGGGAGTACCAAAGAGGGTGCCCGGCAAACTCCAAAACCAGATATTTGTTTCAAATCTATTCAAATGCAATAACTATGTGGCCTATTTTTCAGTCTCTGTGTTAAGAAGTGTTGAGAAGGACTTGGTTCGTTTGCACTCAATGCTTTTTATTAGTTGGAACAGCTCAGTAAGATGATAAGACCAACCGTAGTAGACAGCATAGACCAGCGCTGATGCCACATATGCTCCGAGCACCTGGGAGAGGCAGTAGGGTACCAGCCTTCCCCACTTTACCCTTCTCACAACACAGAAACTTAGAGTCACTGCGGGGTTCAGATGGGCACCTGGAGAAAAAAAGGAGTAATATATATATATAATGTTAATTTGCTTTATCTATAGGTATGGTGAATTTAAATAGCCTTAGCTTTACATTTAATGAATAAAAGGATAAATCTGATCTGCTATTTATCTGTTATTGGATTCGATATTTCACCTTTTAGGGGGGGTCAGGAGAAATGTTTTATTTTTTATTTTTAATCAATTGTATCCAAGTAGAATATCCAAGTAAGTATACACATAGCTTTGCAATATATTCTTACCTGAGATCCCCTTGACCAGATACATGGCCGACATCACTCCCACAGAGAAGGACATGTTGACTGATAGATACTGGCCTTTGGTATCTCGGCTGGTTTTTACCTGAGCTGCTGCACAGCAACCAAAGAGCTGCATAGTACACAGAGAGAGAGGAAGTAACTATTGTTAGGAACAGAGTGATGTAAGAAAAGTTTAGATTAGGACTGTCAGCAATATAACTGTTTAAGAAGTCAGCCAAAACCACCCCCCATTTTTCTCACCCTCTACTTTTTAGATGTCTGCCATTTTTCAGGATCTGGTCTGGACCCCAAAGAAAGTTACATTGCATTCTCCATCCATCCATCCATCCATCCATCCATCCATTTTCTTACACGCTTATCCCAAGTTGGGTCGCGCGGGGTGCTGGTGCCTATCTCCAGCTGTCTACGGGCAAGAGGCGGGGTACACCCTGGACAGGTCGCCAGTCCAATGCAGTACATTGTATGCTCCTATGGCCAAATATCTTGTATGCCTTTGGATGTTTTTCAAACAATCAAAACTTTGCCTTGCTCCGCCCAGTTCTGCTTACTTTTCATCCAATCCACCTGCTTCAGCCTCTTTTTAACCTTCTACCAGTACAGTAATCAGTGCCTGATTATTTGAGCCCTTGGTTAGAGTTTTTTGGCATACCTAAGTGTTTCTGATTTGATCCTGATCCGTTCTGCCTCAGGACCACTGAGCCTGCCCTCTCCCATTCTGATCTGTTTGCCTGACTGGTCCTCAGACTCCTACTGGATTCTTCCTTTGAACCTAACCGGGAACTGCTTCCTGACACTCACATGGATTTCCCTTTGGTACCTCTTCGTATCTATGATCTCCTGACTCTGACTCCTGAGCATGTCCTCTACACTAGCTTTGGCTTCACCCTCTGGGTTATCCCTTCCTTTGTCTGCTCGGTTCTGATAGCCTGCCGGTCCTCCGACCTCTGGGACTTCAGTGTCGGGGACTCTTTCGGAGGCGCCTGTCACGTCTTGTTGGTACCTACCTCGTCGCCTGGGCTCAGACTGAACTTTAAAAACAGGTCAGTGACCCACACGTTCATTAGCATCTTCCGCCAAATAGACATGGTCACTAACCTGTGTTCTCCTCTTGCCGAGGTTCCTGCCTTAGATGCCTACGCTGTTCTCTACAGTTCCATCAAAATAAACATTTTGTAGAACTTTAAAATCCACAAATTCTGTGATGAAATGACATTTATGTTAGTTTTGAAATGTATAGACAATCTCAAAATTCTTAAAATCTTAACATCGTATTGTTTGGCCATAAACCATTGTATATCAGTTTTGGACATTGAGGACCAATGGCCCAGTGTATTCTCAATATGAGTTCGTATGAAATCGTACGAAAAGTTATGCCCCGTAATTTCGGACGTTTTAGACGTTTTTTTCGTCTTATTTCGTCTTATTTCGTCGCATTTTTACGTCTTGCCTCGAGACAAGATATCCTTGCGCATGCGAATCTTACGCACCATACAATAACATAGAATTTAACATACAATTAACCCTAACCCTGACCCTAACCCTAAGATACAAAACATCAAGAAATGTAGTTAGAGACATAAAGAAGTAATTATTGCACTGTTTTTCCCAGTTTGACGTCCGTTCGCGGATCTGGTTTATTCTCTTTCTGCCTGCGCATGCGCACTGATCTGTTTTTTTGAGGAACAACGTCCAAAACGTACGAAATACTGTGCATAACTTTTCATAGGATTTCATACGAACTGATAATGAGAATATGTTGAATGGCAATGTTAATATTAACTTTTATCATTGATTGAGGAATATGTATTAGGCTCTGCTGTGGACTCTTTTCTTTAATTACTGAAAATTTTTCAAGATAAACTTCCGATCTCAAACATAGAATCCATGCTGAACTGATGCATTGCTTCATCTTAGATTTTTCAACCATGTGTGTACATAGTAGCTTAGTTTAGTTAAGTTTCACTTGTTAGTCAAGAGTTTTTAACTGAAATATGTTTGACCTGGGGCTGAATGATTTTTGTTAGTAAAATTGTATGATTGTGTGAGTACTGTACATGGTGCCAGCAGCTGGTGACAGTGTACAACAATATTTATTTATATGTGCTGAGTGCACCCAGTAAGAAAATCTGGTCAAGCTTAAAAAGAGAAAAAAAACCAGTGAACACTCTATTAGGACCAATACCTGGCACATACTTTTTATTTGAAGATTGATATAGGGTTTTATGTGTGGAGGTGTGTGTGTTTCTTTTTTTCCATAGGCAAAGTGAGCGACACGGCCTGTTAAATAAGGTGAGGCCAGCCTTGTTTCTGTATAAAACAGTATTAAACTACAAAAGCATGTTGCCCCATATTGTGACTTACACCTATAGCTAAAACTCACATATGATCTGGATAATTTCCAAATTTTAATGAACTTTTCCTTGGCATGAGGTGCACCTTTGGTCTCTAAAGATCCTTTTCTTGGTTTATAAATAAGGCATATTATATGTCTGCAGCCTCTGGTGTTTGTTCTACTCTCACCTTCTTAATTTGCTCTGCTTTCTTGTTTGATCAGCAGATTGAAACTTCGAGCGTGGCATGGCTCATCTTCCCTGTGTTTTTGTCTTCCCTATAATACTTCTGGATGGATGCTGAATCTGTCAGTAGTCAAAACTGACATGCTCTGGTTTAGGGTGGAACTGCTTGTTCTGCCGCATAATGTTAGAGAATCCTTTAAAAAATGCCTGCATTTGGATGATGATGTGGATCATCACCAACATGAAATGGATTGTTCCTTGTGCTGAGGTGCAATTCCTTTCATTACTATTCAAGTTATCCTGTACATAAACAAACAAATACACACAAACTCCACTAAAAACACAACATCCTTGCAGGAGGTAAAAATTCTTATTCTTAGTAAATTTGATCATTGATCTTTAAATTTTCTTAATTTTTCTGTCACTAATTCCCTTCAAAAAAAAATATTGGAAGCCTAGTTTTTACTAATTGACATTAGATTTATTGATCTTTTGTTTAGCTATTTGGTGATTTTAATATAAACTTGGTGCATGGTACATTCAATTATTGGGATATCTTCTAAGGTTGCTGTGGCAAAACGTAAGTTATAAACATCACCCTTTGGGCTTTTTAGACAATAAAATGTTATCTAATCTAACAAATGCTGTTATATGAAGATAGGTGCCACCATTAACAAGGTGAGTTAAATAATAAATGGACAGGTTCAGGCAAATAGGTGTTCTGACTTATCTAATGGAAAAGGGTTTGGCGCTAGTGGGTGGTGGCTAATGATTAGGCGAATCATGTCCATCTAACCAAACAGACCTTTGCCAAGCTCTAAGCATGGTAAAACATGTTAGGTTCAGAGGTCTTTAAAATC